GCTGCGCTGTGGAGATAAGGTGGTCGGTTAACTTCACACCAACACGAAGCTAGGAAACTGGTATAAGTGATTACTGAGCTATTTCATCGACTGGATATTTAAGTTAGTCATGCAATCACACCATAAACCACAGGTTCTCAATTTCCTTTCTCAGCCAAGGACCCACTACAAGAATGTAAACAAGAAAATATTCTGTATTCATGTATGTCCCTTGGAATAATTTGACACATCTTATCTTTTTACACTTAAGTGAAAGAACAGGAGAAATATTTTCGAAAGATAATACACATTTAAAAAATATTTTTACCATCATTTTAATGTTCAATCAGCTGGGAAAAGTGCACGGCTAAAAATACCCTGGATCTCGCTGAACAAATCTTTATCGTTTAGGCTTGTTTGAAGTGGAATAAGGCAATTTCAACACAAACTGTAAATCCCAGATTATAATATTTGGCTCTGTTTGAGATTAATGGCACTTCTTAAGTTTGGCATGTGGATAATGGGGTCGGTCTGAAAGCCTGTTACACAAGCAGTTAAGTTTTTGTGTCAGATCATGAAAAGCCAATGAGAGCAGTGTACATGCAACCAGGACACATGCAATACACACACAGCTTCATGTTAGCGCTCATCTAGGATTTAAAGTCCTTGTATCCGACACTAAAAACAGCAAAACGTGGAACTTGTACTGTCATATGCTGATTGTATTCAAAACATTCTTTATCTTTTTCTTCTAGCAATGCCTGAACATGCAAATGGAGGACACACTGGAGACAACCACTTATTCTCTTCCAAACAGCCCCGAAGTACAGAATCCAAACTTCACGTTTTACCCCATGACCAGTCTCACAGAGGGGGAAACAAACAGTTTAAATGTTTGTCCTGCAGAGTTCATTAATACATTTGATGGGTCTGTTCCCAGTATGGCTCCACCGGACAGTCTCAGTCAAATGGAGGTGAAAGCTCCTGAGTTAAATACTAACTTTGGTGCAGAAAGTTTCTGTGACATTTTTTACCCCAACACCATCCTGGAGGAGAGCAGCGGTCAGCATGGCCTTGAAGGAAATGAAAGTTCAACCATTTCCGATATTCCAAACAAGCCTTCCTTTACAACCATGGACCTTTATAGCCTCTCGCCCGGAGATGCATTTGACAGAGGCAAACAAAATCTAATGGCTGAAATGCCAGACTCAGATTCAGGCATCTCCTCAAACACAAGTCCAAATGCTAGTTCACCAGCAAAATCTGCATTTGGAGACGGGTCCTTTGGTTACAGCGATTCCGACATGGAGGAGATGGACCACAACCCTGGAAGCGCAGAGTCCGACTACTCAGAGATGCTCTCGCTAAATTTCCAACCGGATGACGATCAGACAGTAGTTTCTGTATCTGCACAGATAGGGCAGCCACACCAGCGCCATGAGAAGAAACTAAAACTATACAAGACGGACCTTGCAGAGGAGAGTGACCACAACAATGTGCCCTTTACCAAAGACAAGCAGAAGATGCGCTCAGATGTGCGTCTCCCCAGAGACGAGCAGAGGGCCAGGGCCCTCAAAATCCCCATGAGCGTGAGCAGGATTATCAACATGCCTGTTGACGACTTCAACGAGATGATGTCAAAGCACCCACTGAATGAGGCCCAGCTGGCCCTGGTCCGAGACATACGCCGCCGCGGCAAGAACAAAGTGGCTGCCCAGAATTGCCGCAAACGCAAGATGGAGAACATAGTGGGCCTGGAGGGCGAGCTGGACTCCCTGAAGGAGGAGAAAGAGCGTCTGCTGAGTGAAAAGAGCCAGAACATCACTAACATTAAGGAGATGAAGCAGCAAGTCAACAGCTTGTACCTGGAGGTCTTCAGCATGCTGCGGGACGAGAAGGGGAATCCCTACTCGCCGTCCGACTACTCCATCCAACAGTCGACCGACGGCAGCGTCTTCCTCGTCCCTCGCGTTAAAAAAACTTTCATCAAGGGCGAGGACAACTACTTGTCTCCCATGTAGTATGGTACTGCGTTAACATAGTAATACTATGCAATAACCTTGTAGTCGCTCAGCTTTAAAGTATCAGTAGCTCAGAACTATTGTATAGTTTTCGTTTACTCCTCTTGAATGTGTAATATTTTTGATATTTTACTTTTGTACTCTGATATGCTCACAGATCCAATATTGTATGTAAATATACACTTAAATGCATTTGAGATTAACTGTGACGTGGTATTTGTGTGTATATATATATTGTATATAAATTATATTCCTGTATGCTAATGATTGTTTCAATCATTGCTACCTATATTTTATAACTTTCCACTTCATGATTTGCTGCCCAGGTTTTTTTTTTTTTTTTTTTTTAATTTCTGTGCTTTTCAATAAACTATTCCATCGCTATATATTGTCTCAAGTTTCCTGAGAAGAGAACATTCTGTTTTGAGCTGCAACCACAGCCTGCAACAGATTGATGCCAGATGGATGTATAGCATAAGAAATGATGACATAACTTACCACATGTTTAAGTCAGGTCTCAACTCGAAGGCTTCACCATTCAGGACCATTGAAGCAGAAAATAAAAGGAAACTCGTCACAGGTTTAATCCACTTTTCACAATCTGCTTGCATTTTATTGGAGCAAAGCTTGTTTGTACAGTAACCTAAATCTTTTAATGCTGTGAAAGTCCCTTCGTAAAAAAAAGATATCACACCCACTGCACTCATTGTGCTACACAACAAAGAGCATAATTGTTGAGCCACGGTGGAGCATGCTCAGTGTGAACTTGCATGACAACTTCACAATGGCACACTGGCCAAGCCTAGTCAAAGGTAAAGCCCTTCGCAATCACCGTGTGCTCTCTATGTGCACTTTCACACACAAACACCGCCCCTTGATCCGCAGGCATGTGTTCTGCACCTTCAACTTCAGAGTGTGTGTCGAACTGAAGTGGGACAAAGTCAGGATGTCTGACTCAAGAAAATCCAACAAAACCTTTTAACAGTTGTATCATACAAACTTTTTGTGTTGCTTTCAAGTGAGTTTTGGAAAATAATTACTCACATCAGGAAAAAATGTTTTTATTTTTAGAACAAAAATCCATACATTTACATTCACATTATTTAAACCAACAGCTGTTGACTGAAACTGGTGAACTTTCTCCGAGCTCACATTCATTACACTTGAATGTCATATTAAGTCATCATTCTGCATTCCTCAGTAGAAACATTTCCCTGTAACTGGTTGCAAAACATTATCAGTCATTGTGTTTTCCCCTGTGAGACTCACATGACCTGCCTGTGTGAATCCTTTCAAATACAAAACGCTCAAGAGAAGAAACGTAGCTCGCTCTCAGTTTATTGAAGGTTGAAAATGCTTATTAATGCGTATTCATTTTAAAAGGCTAAAATTTTACAAAATTAAATAATTTAAAGATATTTGGAGAAATGATTGCTCTTTCCTCAAATGCTCAAATACTTCTGGTTGATACAAGTGTCAGGTTCAGTAAAAACGGATCTGTAGTTCCCATATTTAAGAGAAAACTACCCTTGACATCTGAACTTATTTTGAATTATCAGGAGGTCAATCTAATACGCCAGAGTTAAACGTACAGCTAACGCTTCCTGTTCAGAATGCTGATTACTTTCGAACCATTTATTATTTCCTGCCATGTTCTTTGAGAATGTTTCGATTCATCTTTTCGGTTATCTAACTTGTTGCCTTAACAACCAGCTCATTTAAGTGCTCCAACTCTAAAATGTATAAAACACGAGTATACTATATTGTTATGAGCACTCTTATCAATTATTGGGATGCCTTTTGAGTAATAAGTGTTTCTACATGAGGCCTTTATATTTTCTACCACTTAGTGATCAGAAGGGATAACAATGGCCTTGTTACTTATATGACTTGACTGTTAACTTGCTATTAGTCTCTATAAATAAATAAAGTTATTGTTAATTCTGGCAATTCATCAAGAAAAAAATGGATAGATTATAATGAAAATAACTGTAGGTGGCAGCTCTATTCTTTGTGGTTATTGTTTTATTTTTTCAAGAGTGATTCATCACTATCAAATTGATCAGAATTGGCTAAGAATAAAACGATAATAAAACAATACTAAAGGTAAACCAAGCAGTATGGTCAAGGTCTGGAATAATACTGGGCGTCATCCAGCTCAGTTTAACTAAAAGACCTTACAACATATGCACTGTTAACATAACAATACGAGCAGCCTTGGATAATATTTTGAAAAATTCTTACCCATCCAGAACCTTCCATGTTATCAGGTCTTTACAGATTTTCAGCAAGAAGAGACTCTTTCCACATCTGTAAATCAAGCAAAGTGGTTACTCTTACCTGCTCCATCTTCTTAAAGTCAGCTTTTTGTGAAATATACTCACTCCCTTTCCTCGTTAATGTCTCAACTCTAGCATTTGCTGGCAAAACTGAAGTATCTCTGACTTAAAGAGTGGATCTCCAATGTGTCCGGGAACTAGTCTTTCTTCGCTAGCACCGGCTGCTGAAGGGTTTAGCTAGCCTTGAAAACATTGACGATTGATGCTCACTACCAGGCACGACACTGCAAGCTTCCTCCATGGGCGTCGATGCTGCCTTCTCCTTTCTCTCTCAAAATGCTGACTGGTCCACTGTGCTGGGGGCTGAAGACGTCCTGTCTGACAGTCATCTGCAATCTTCCACACTAGCGATGCTGAGGGCCAAACTGCAGGTGCTTGTGGCTGTTAAACTCCTACTTGCTCAACACTGGCATATGTGGTGTGTATGGGCCCTTGCACTAGGACTACCCAAAACTCCCTTGTCATTGACCCTCATTCAAGTAAATACATTGAAAATGAATACACACTACATTCACCCACATTACGTCTTAAATAAAACTCCCAGAAGACAAGGAAGTTCTGGAGAGGCTGGTTTGCTGAACTTCACATTCATAAAGAGAAGACAACAGATCACAACCCATTTCATCTTTTTTTCTGAACCAATGACGCACTGAACCTCGTGTTACTTTACTACACAGTTTTATTCACTCTTTTTCTACCAATCAAAATATTTGAACAAATCTAGAATTCGGTTTGCTAGGAACAAGAAGAGTGAGGGATTCCCTAAATTCTAATCCAGATTGCTTATATGAGTTTGACATTGGTACTACGAACCATTTACATACTGTGCTTCACATACAAGAAAAATCAATAATACACTTGACACTTGGAATTGAGCACTCATAATAATGTGAGAAAGCAAAGTGGTGTAATTCTAGCTCATCTGAGGGCCTGATTCAACTAAATGATTTGACAAAAACCAGTTCCAAATATATTGCCCAGCAGAAAACTATCCATTTAAAAAGAATATGTGTTAAGAGCTGACTTAAAAAAAAATTAAAATTAAAAAGAAATAACAACAATTTCATCTTTACTCCTGATACCATAGGCACAGTATACACACACTTCAGCGCACAAAAGGAAAATGTCTTCATCGGGAAACATCTATCACAATTAGGGAAGGGTATCATCTGCACTCATGTCTTGTGTATACAGTCCTTCTTGATTCAGTAAAGTCTGACTTGTGTGTTCCTCTAATGCTTTCAGATGACTGCCTCAAAGTAACCTGCAGCTTTCCTGACCATTCCTTTGCTCACCTCCTCGCCTCTCCTGCTAAGAACTGAAGCCTGTTGAATGGATACAGGATAGAACAAATAGTTATTCTGCACTTTCATGAGCTCACTCTGTACTGTGCTAAGAGGGAGATGTGAAACTGAACGCTACTTACCAAAACATGAAATATTTAGTACCGCCGCGAGCCGTAGCCACCGCCGCCGCCACCACCAGAGTTGTAGCCGCCTGCAGAGAAAGATTTGGTCAGTGGATGTGTTGTTTTGAAATTTGTTAGTGACACAAAGAGTTCGGAGGGTGAATCTCACCTCCATAGGGTCCACCCGAGTTTCTGCCACCAAAGTTGTTTCCCTTCATGGGCCCATAGTTGGACTGCTGTCCACCATAGTTTCCAAAATCATTGTAATTTCCACCTCCTCCATAACCTGATGATGCCAAATGTCCATATTAAGGTAAGGCTTGATTCCACCTGTCTAATACTTTTTTGTTGTTGTAAAGATCTAGCACTAAATGTAACATGCAGAATTATGGGGTCAATTAAATTTTTACCTCCACCGTTACCTCCATAGCCTCCATCGCAGCTGCCCCCATATCCTCCTCCCTGGTTGCCGTACCCTGGGCCACCACCTCCGTAGCCCCCTCGGCCTCCTCCATAACCTTGACCTCCTCCATAATTTCCTCCTGGACCTGAAATAATAAAAAACATGCAAACATAATTTTAATCCTCATCTATTAAAGTGGCATAATTAACTCGTGTGGTATTAACATAACATAGTAAAACTCGATCAGAAGACATTTATACATCCTAAAGATTTATTAACAGCTCACCATTGTCAAAATCATCACCATAACCCCCTCTGCCGCCGCCATAGCCACCTGAAAACCAGGAGGGTAAAGTATAATAAATACAACAACAGTGATTTCTTTGTATATTCTTCAAGTCTTGTCCCAGAAGAGACTCAATGAATATGATAAGGCCACTGTTGTGTTCAACATTTCACAAATATGACCAATGTATTTCTGCAGAGCAGCAATGTTGAAGACAACTGTCCGTTGCCTCTGGCTCAGTAACCACTTGTTTTGCATGTCAGTGCAGCCAATGAACTGATATGTACCATCACGGTACATTAATCTGTCTGACAACTGTATATGAAATTATAGGCACAAGACTTACTACTGTTATCCTCTGCTAAGGTACCTTATACGAATCTCAATCAACACTGCTTTGTACCGCTACTGTCTGGAACATTTTAATTAAAGTTTAGCTCAACTCAAACACAAAGTAACAGTTCACAGACACAGCTGACAGAACAGAATAGAGCTGTAGGCTAGTCAGGCCAAGTTGAGTAACCGGTTTAGTTATGACCGTTATTATATATATTATTTGCTGATTAAAAAAAAAGATACATTTTTTGTGAATGTAAAACTTTGGTGTAGACTTCTTTCATCATACAAACATCATCACATGTTCTGCCAAGAGATCCCTTTCACCTAAATCTTACACACTGGACCTTTAACACTAGACACTCATCAGATAAGTAAATATAACTCACCTCTGCCACTAAAGTTGCCACCACCTCCAAAATTACTCCCTCTGCCCATGAAGTTTCCGGATCCTCCACTCCTGTCTGATATAAAAAAAAAAGAGGACAAATTTAAATAAAGATTAGATACTTCAAAATGTGATTGTCATATAAGACAGCACATTTATGATCCATTCGATGTGCACTTACCTCTGTTGCTGGACATAGCACACATTTCCTGTTTTGACAGAGCTTTCCTGACCTCACAATTGTGGGAGTTGATTGAGTGGAACTTCTGAGCTGTAAGGACAAAGAAAAAAAAAAAAGAATGTACTTCTACACCATTGCTTAACATTTCCTAACAGCCAAGATATCTCTGAAGTCTAAATAACCACATACCAACAATTTTATCTACAGTGTCGTGGTCATCAAAAGAGACGAAGCAGAATCCTCTCTTCTTCCCAGTGGAGCGTTCCTCCATGATGTCGATGCATTCGATCTTCCCGTATTTCTCAAAATGCTCCCGGATGTGATACTCCTCGGTGTCCTCCTTGATCCCACCAACAAAGATCTTTTTCACCGTCATATGGGCGCCAGGTTTGTTGGAGTCCTGAAACCAAGTGCATCAGTGAGCGCACATTAAACATTAATTACAGAATCTGCCGTCTTGTTTACTTGGGACTCGTTTACCTCTCTGGACACCGCCCTCTTGGGTTCAACAACGCGGCCGTCTACTTTATGCGGCCTCGCTTTCATGGCGTCGTCGACTTCTATTACCGAGGAGTATGTTACGAAGCCGAACCCCCGCGATCGCTTGCTGCTGGGGTCTCTCATCACCTGGAAACGACACAATGGCTCATGTCAACAGCTGGAGTGGTGTGTGGCTGTGTTTCTAATGTCCTGTTTATCCTCATCATTAACGTTACAGATACACACCACACAGTCCGTGAGGCTTCCCCATTGCTCAAAATGGGCCCGCAAACTCTCCTCCGTGGTCTCAAAGCTCAGCCCCCCGATGAAGAGTTTCCTGAGCTGCTCAGGTTCCTTAGATTCACAGTCCTACAAAAACATGGCATAACAAGAGAACACACAGAGTTATATCGTAAATACTGTTACAGAATACCACTATCATACGTCATAACTAAGGGTACATAACGATACTTGTGTATTCCAGTAGACAGTGTCATATCCGTCACTATATCCTTGACAGCCTGTATGTCTAGGATATTCCAGCTGTGGCAACATGCTAAGCTAACCACGCTTGTGAAAGGTTCAGTTAAATGTAATTTAAAGCAGCACACCGACATTTATTCTCTTTTTCAAGTGAACGTGTGATATCGAAACAGAAAATCAGCAGCGAGGCTATCGATGCGTGAAACGGCCTGACAGGCCTGGTTAGCTTTAGCATCAAGCTAGTTTACTCCGGGATAGCTGTAGCTCCACTGCTGTGCTATGTTTATTATACACATGACAACAAATTGCAGCATTAGCACATTCGCTGTGACACGTTAGAGTCGTGTGACCATCATCCAAAACCCAACGCAGAACCCGCAGGTGCCAACACCGCCCAGTTAGCTTGTAGCATTTTTGACAACCAATAGCTTAGCTGCGGCTTGTAAGCTAGCTCTCGAGCTGCGTTTCAGCTGCAGAAAACCCGCACACGAAACCGCACCGCCCCGCACCAGTTTTGCACATGTGACACGTTACGACGGTGGATTCGGAGCATTTGTACGTGCACGTTGGTTCAATTTGCAATATTTGGGAGCAGCTCACCTCCATTTCGCTGATGTCTGTGGTTCGCAGGCGCAGACAGTGAGCGGGTCACGTGACGAGGAAAGCTCTAAAGATGAGGAGGATGCAGCTGCAGGATGTCTGCTCCGTCCAACCTGCACCTTCAGTCCAGATACAACACAGAGCAGCTTCTGTGGCGCACGTGTACAAACTCTAAACTCTGATTCTGGTCATATGAGACGTTTTGTTCGACGGTTCAATCTTATATAGCTGCGTTAGGACAAAAGCGAAGATTTGCGCCATCTACTGGTTAAAAGAGAAACGACGACTCCTCACCAGACCCTGAACTAAGACAGACCTCAGTCCATCATGGCTGCGGCAGCATTTCATTTAAAAGAGTAAATGTTACGCTGCTGGTGTCCAAGTAGAAAATGTCACGACACTGTGCCATGCGTTGTAAATCTTTCGCTCATGCAACAGAACAATCTGGTATTTGTCTTTGTCCAAATTCATTGTGGAGGGTGACATCCTCTGTCCTTAACCCTCAACAAGAGTAAGGAAAAAATAGTGGAAAAATACATGGACCTACTTGCCAAGTACCTTGAACAAATATGTGCATGTGTACCAAGGAAAAACTACACTGTTTCAGCTACCACAGCAAAGTTGGATTTGCTATATGCACACTGTATGAAGTTCATGTATGAAAACGATATTTGAAAACCTCTTCACTTTGATGCATTTGAGACTGATGGATTCAGATGATTTCTGCAGGAAACAAATATCCTGTCTGGATTTGGTTGCTTAACCCTTGGGCATTCACTAAACAGTAGAAGAAAAAAGAAGTCATTTTAATAATCGTACTTAACTTGAATGATCTTTATGTGGTTTATTGTCAAATAAAAACATAAACAACAGGCCATAGACAACAAATATCCCGTGACAGGTTCAGATATGAGCCAGATGAACATTGTAGTGACAGGAGCTTAAAAGTGAGGTCTAACTTTTCAAATAAAAGCAGTTGTTCAATAATGTCATCATAATTTACTTTTTGTTTGTATTGCTTATATTACTTATTTTTCATATTTTGTGTGTTGAGATTGTACGTTTACTTATTTATGACTTCTACTTCTGTTTATATTTCTACTGTCCTCTTTGGGAAATGTCCCAGTATGTCCTTGGGACTATAAAAATAATTTTTTCTTATCTTAAAAGTGCTTCTGATTTTGAACTGATTTCTTTGCATGAATCAAGTAAGAAGCTGTCAAACTGTCATGTGTTAGTACTCTGAGTAAGACCAGTGCCCTTGCTGCATGGCCTGATTCCCATTAGATTTAGTGGAAATGCTGCTTTTGTGCTGAAATGATACATAGTTTGTCATATGATTTTATTAGCCTTAACGGGATATGTTTATAGAAATGTGCAACTCGAAAACATAGCTCAAACAAAAATAATAAATCTCTTTCAGTGAATTTCAACATAGGGCTCATCTACATCAGTTACTGACACTGCAAGTCTCTTGTCAAAAACACTGACTGAAGATTTTTCTTAAAAGTCTAGAAACTATTAACAGGGAATGGAATAAATAACTCATTAAACCTGATTGATGTCATAAAAGTATTTTTTCACTGCAGACATTTGTGTTGTTTGACTTATTGCTTTGTTCATCATCTTAAGTAGCCCTCACACTTTTAACTTTCCATCTTTGTATTGTAAACTGTTGTGCTGCTACAGATTTAGCCTCAGCCGTCAGCTGTAATTGTGGAAATGTGGCCCACATCTGCGTTTTCAGTTCGAGTCAGATCTCACTGACAAGAATACTTCATCGGACGGAAGTATGATCTATGGTCCGTGTGACTGAGCCTTGTTGAGGCTGACCAGCATCTCCAAATATATGACTGTTTTATGGTTGAGACAATGTCTGTCATTAACTTTATTGTCGTGTGTGTGAGGAAAATGCAGCCCCAATAAAAGGGTAATGCTTTTCTGACAATAATATTGATGAGTATTTATGATAGGACCATAGTTCACATTCAAGAGCCAATTTGTGTTTTGCACCTTTTATCCCACTGCAGTAACTGTATTTGCTTGGAGATAATAGACATGTTATAGCTTTTACAGTACAGTATTACCGCCCTCTAAGTGTTATGGTAACATGGTTTTCACTTCAGAGCACAGACAGTAGGCTAGCCTTGCTCAGTGGAGATTATTTAAAGCAGTAATATCACCGCTGTCCTATTTTTATTGTTTTATTAATTTATATTCGCTGTCCTGCCTTGTGTGATCATGAGAAAACCATCTTCCGCTCTGAAAATTGGACCCTGTTGGACCGTTTGAGGACGCTGATGGTTCATCTGACAATAAAAAGCTGTATTTTATCCGTGCATTTGCAGTCGACACCTGTTCAGCAAGACCGTTGTCACACTTGGCACGTGGAGCCTGTGTGTGTCTCCGATGTTGAACTGGAGCAGATGGTCAAGAATATTGTCCAAATGTCATAATAGTTTTTTCCGTTGTTTGTTTTGGAACAAACAGGAGTTACAATCCCTTCAGGCATTCAAGCTAGGAAACATTATGTCACAGTTGTTCAGCTGTCTGTACCTGTTTGCTTCATAAAGGAACTGAAACTGTAGCTTTGTCACAGAGATACATTTAGTTTAATGTAATTATTATTTCTTATCATAGATAAATCACCCGTCTGAGGCAGGTAAGAAACCAAAAAGCTAAATCAATAAAGACATTGAGACTGATATTGTACAATTAACAGATAGAGACAACAGTATACAAATACACACTTAAGCCCCATGTTTTTCATTATTACATGCCCTGTAATCTCGACTTGGAGGCTGATAAACAATCTCATGGTCAAAGAAGGAGAAGCTTAGCTGAGAGCGTGTGTAAACGGGGCAGCATCAGCCTCTCACAGGCGTAGTTTGACGGATGCTCTGTGTACACCCCCCACGCCCCAACCTCAGGACAACATGTTTGTTTGGTTGTTGATCACATCCCCTGGTCTTTGTACCAAACAGCCCCCTGACACAAAGATATATCACAGGTCCCACACACTGCTACCTGCCAGGGACATTTCTATTTTGTACTCTTCTGGTGACTGCTCTGCCAACACCGGTGAAAAAGAGGGGGTTTATTTCTAAATCAGTATCAGCTTCTGTTTGGTCATTGTATTTCTTTAGGCATGTATCACAGCTGCATATGCTGGTCGGCCTTCAGCTGTAGGTCCAGTGCAAGAAGACTGAGATTTAAATGCAATTAGCAGTTCATTTACATCAAATGGATTAAAAAGATGAATTAAATTATTAGTTAATGACACTCATAAAGACGTCTTGGTTTGCTGTGATTTACACAATCTCGGCCTTGATTGTAATTTTTTCCGCGACAAGTGAGTGATATAACGACCCCCTGAAATAGAGGGGGATGTCATTCCTGGTGTGGACTAAAAGGAAGCACTTAGAACCGTGATTAAATAATTAATACAGGTTTTATACCCATTTTACACTTCCAAATTATGGTTCGCCATATATCTGGGAAACAGCCACTGAGGAGAACCGTGTCAGCAAAAATGTAATGTACAGTAAATCTCTGCGAGGGAGGAGCCAGCGGCTGCAAATCATGTGCGAGGTTAGAGGTGACATGAATATAACCTTTCCCCCCTTCACTCTTATCAGGTGGCTGATGAAAACACACAGTATGGAAACACACTCACAAACACACATACGCACCTATACACACTCATTTATATAACTGTTCAGACTCTTGACCTTTGCATTACTTTAATTTGAGGATATTAATATGATTACTGCTCCTGTTTGTATTCTCCATCACTAAAGTTATAGAGGAAGTGATCCAACAGTAGGTGGCACCACATCACAATGCTCCACATGTGCCAGAGTCAAGTGATCACACATGAGAACTGATAACCTGCCATTTAATCCACTTTAAATTAAATAAAAGCAACTTTCTCTTCCGGATCCTGATCCTACACTTGCCTTAACACAGTTTTTTTTTTTGCGATTTGCACAAACAAATATCTTCATTAGGATTGCTTACACAAAGAGCCTTTACTAACACAGGCCTCTTTTGTTTCCACTGTCCTCTAGATGGCACCATGGTCCACGAGAAGAAAAGCCTTTTACTACCAAATTATCTCACCTTGTAAATGTCAAACAATATTCCCCAAAACTAAATTATTATTTTTCCCATGTGTCACACCTCTGCCTCCTTGATTAAAACCAATCCCCAAAAAACCGTAATTATATTTGTTTCTATTTGTTCACATAATTGATGCAATTATGGAGAATGCACTTTTTGTTATTGGCCCATTAGCTGTTGAACCACAAAAATATACTTTAAAAGGCAGACTGGGGTTAAACGTACTGATTTATTTAAGAATTAGTTTGTGAAAAGTTTCAGGCATCACACTGCAGCATTTGTTTTCTCCTTATTTTTTGAGACACAAGTCATATATGTTTGCTTTGTCTTAACATTTATCACCTGAAATATTCTTAATGGCCCAATCGCTCCTCACAAACCCGGCCCTCCACTGCACACGGAGCTCTGGGTGTTCGAGGTTGACCTTGTCCACAGAAAGCGTAAACTTGGCTCCATGACTCCATTAGGGAAGCCCGCCTGCCATAACCTGGGTTTGGGCAGACGGACATACGCAAATGGAAACTCTGAGGAAATGGAGATTCAGAGCAGGGAAACCAGGGAGTCAATTTAGTCACTGTCTACTACCTTTTCACATGCAAGTACAAAGCCAATCTCAGATGCTGGTGTTGACGAGAATCTCTCTCTGAGGAATTTGGGGAGAGAACAATTCCTAGCATCTGTTTCCTGTTCACTCTGATGGAGGAAACCGGGTGTAAATCACACCAAATATAAATAGAATCAGCATTCAATTTACAGGAGCTAAAGTTATTACTGTGGCCTTGCTTTTTGCTTCTCGCCGTCACTGAAATGTTGTAAATACTCCTCACCCCAGAACTAAATGTAAAATATTACAAACCCCATTTCAAAAGGGATAACAACTATATCTTCTAGAATAACCCCTGAAGATCAAAGAAACTGCAGCATCCAGCATTATGATTGAAAGAGGGCTTTGGAGTTGTGTAGCATTGTATTTTAAATCCTATGAGGGGAATTAAAAAAGGAATCTTGATTTGCTTTATCATTCCAGCATTGTAAACTTGAATAAATGCAAAAATATATTTTGCTTGGCATAGCTGGTCATAAAATATGTGTCATTATAATAATGATATAATGCTTCTGAATGTTAGAA